GCTTTCTCTGTTGTTCCTTCGCATTGGCTTGGCCTGTTCAGGGCTCTGGCACACCGCTCCCCAGTAGCGCATTTGGGGCCGTGGGAATTTACTCATGGCCGCAAGTCTAGGGATGCTACCTCAACATCGGAAAACCAGTCTGTGTCTAAACAAACAACTTAGTTTGACAGATTCCTTGGAGGATGAGCTAGGGAAAAGGTAAGGAAAATAAAATCCAAATCTAAAAATAGAATCATTGTTCAGAGTAAGGCAAGAACTATATGATCTTACTTATATGTGGAATCTAAGAAAACCCCCAAACTTGTACATACAGAGAAGAGATTGGCAGTTGCCAGAGGCAGGAGGTGGGGGTAGGTAAAATAGGGGAAGGAGGTCAAAAGGTACATGCTTCTAGTTATAAGTCTGGGGGGTGTCATATATATAACATGGTAACTGCAGTTAACAAATCCTCTGTTGTATGCTTGAAAGTTGCTAAGAGAGTAAATCTTAAAAGCTCTCATCACAAGAAAAAAGATTATAGCTAGGCGTGGTGATAGATGTTAACTAAGACATACTGTGATGATCATTTTGCAATATATACATATATCAGATCATTATGTTGTACACCTTAAACGAATACAATGTTACGTGTCAATTATATCTCAAAAAATTGTCATTCTCCTAAATAATTAGTGCATTAAAAATAAATATATTTGTAAGTATCCATGAGTATTTTGGGAGTATAATCCAACGGAAGACCATTATACGAATAGGCAGCTAGTCTTTTCAAAATAATGCTAGACTTGTTTTTACTAATTTATATTTACCCTGGTCTATGTAATAAATGTTATTTAATAAGGTAAGTGAAGGAGGAAATTAGCTCAGCATAGCAGCTATTGATATGTTTGATCAAGTTGACTTTTGGTGTGAAAATTTACTATTTTTGAACAGTAGATTTTGAGTCTTAGTAACAATACTAAATGTTAAATTTCAGTTGCCACAAGTGCTTTACATAACACACTCAGATGCACCTTGTTTCACTAGCATATAAAAATGTCTTGTTTCTTGGTACACATTACATTTCCCAGAATATGATTTAATCAACACAGTTTTTTTGTATGGAGATGGGAGTGTATTTTACAAAGCACACAAAAATGGAAAACTGTATTTCATATGGCAGAGTGTTCTGATCTCACTTTTAGAGTGCTGCGTCCTGCTTTCTTTTTCAGTCTTCCATATAAAGAGTTTTTTGGTGGTGTAAGTGGACTGACAGTGGAACAGTTCAGAAGGATCAATGGTTTTCCTAATGCCTTCTGGGGTTGGGGAGGAGAAGACGACGACCTTTGGAATAGGTATGTTGGGATCCAAATTACTTAATAATGGAATTTCTATAAGTATTTCTTTTCTATTAAGTAAATTGTACTTTTCCATTCCAAGAAAGGATTCTTTGGGATGGGAAATTTTTGAAGTTCCTAAATCCTAGGTTGTGTTTTCCCTTTTTCATGGAGTACTTCTGAAATTATTGCCAGCACATACATTAGAGCGTTGTGCATTTTAAATTGAAATCACGTATTCCATTTTTACATCAGATTTTATTTCTTAATGTATTTTCATTTCCATATGTTGTATTCTAGAGTTCACTATGCTGGATATAATGTGACAAGACCAGAGGGAGACTTGGGAAAATACAAGTCTATTCCTCATCACCATCGAGGTGAAGTCCAGTTCTTAGGACGGTAAGTTTAATATCATGTTCAGATATCAAGGTTTCAAAATTATGTAATGTATGAAAGATTTTTTTTTATATGCACCGCCTCCCTCCCAAAAAAAAAAACTTCTTAAGGGAATTTTCTGTCGATATTATTTTTCTTTATAAAAGTAAAGCATTTTTTGCTTGTTTTGAAGAGATATATATATACCTACATACACAGATATATATTTATGTTATATTAAAGAGCCCAGTTCACTTTTATATAAAAAGTATTTGCTTTTTATATAAATACATTTTATTTCTTAAGGATATCCAAGTTGTAATGGTGCAAAATAATTTTTTCAGGTGGCATTTTAAAATTTATAAAGATGCTAATTTAGAATAATGGTCTTAGAAAGATCTTTAATTATGCATAAGAACCAAAAATTGTAAAGAACTTTAAATACTTTAATGATAATGACCTTGATAGAGGAAGGTATAGCTCAGTGGCAGAGCACATGCTTAGCATGCATGAGGTCCTGGGTTCAATCCCCAGTACCTCCATTAAATGACTAAATAAATAAACCTAATTACTCCCCCCCCCAAGAAAAAGCATGACCTTGAGCATATTCCTCATCAGTTTGTCTTTTCAAACGTTTCTGTTACTTTTCATTTCTTTCTCTAACACTATAGGTATAAATTACTAAGATACTCAAAAGAGCGCCAGTACATCGATGGGTTGAACAATTTAATATATACGCCAAAAATACTGGTTGATAGGTTGTATACAAATATATCTGTAAACCTCATGCCAGAGTTAGCTCCAATCGAAGACTATTAAAAGAAGTAGCTCTCATGGCAAGACAGACCGCAGTGTGGCTGGGAAACTTGGAGTGCACTCTTAATGGAGGTCAGTGAATGGATGTGTCACAGTGCCCTGGGTGGTGAGGAGAAGAGCCCGCGTTCTCAGTGTTTACTGGTGGGATTGTATACAGTCAGCCTTCTTCCACGTGCCCATCCTCTGCTCTGAGACACATCCCCGTGGCGAGCACTGCAGAGACCACGAGCTGTTGCTTGAGTCTGGAAGTTAAGAGAGCTCCCTACAAAGAGAAAATTTTTATACTAAAATCTATAATTTAATTCAAGAGAATGCTTTATTTCCGTTTAAACATATTTTGTACATATGTGATGTAAATTAATGTGTTCAAATTGTTGAAAAATAAGATGTGTTGCAGTTTTGCATGTAATGGGTTATGCCTTTATGGGACTTTTATAAACATTTTTTATTTGCATGGAATAAAACAATGTAAATTTATGTCACTAAACAAAGGTTAACCTTGTGTGAAATGAAGGAACTGTCAATAATTGACAGCCAACTAGTTCAGTACACTGTCATACTAGTTTTGAGCTTTAGACCTTCAGCTTCTTGTGTGGAAGAAGTCACAGCTTCCTTAGGGTTTTAAAGGGTAAGAAGAAGGCTTTAACGGCTTTTCTTCCCACCAGGATTTCCTATTTTTTTCCTTGCTCGCAATCTCATCAGATTTTGCTAAATCACAACCGTATTGTTTATGCATATTGCATGAGTATTACCAAGAAAATCTTAGAAGTTGTGATGTGACATGATATAAAGGACCTCTTTATGTTAAATGTCTTTCATGTACCTCTGGTCTAAGTGTCAGGGACTTCGTGCCTCAAAAAATGTTCCCAAGGTTGCGTGTGGTGGTACCCTGTATTTTTTTTTTTTAATTCATAGTGAACAGCACTTTCATTATGTCCAGTTCAGAAGAGCCAAAAAAAAAAAAAAAGCTCTTCATTTAAAAGAAATCAAAGCAGTCTTTTTAAAAGAAAGAGTTATGGAAAACCCAGTAGTACTTATACAAATGAATTATACTATTAGATAAGAAATTAAATGTTCTATTTTTATGAAGTGAAATGCTTAGTAGATAAAAACAAATTTTAAGTTAATTCTCAGATTTATAGAATTTCAAGTTTGGAAGAGATCCTTCTTTTTAATGTTGGCCCATTTCATTCAAACTGTGTGTTTTTTTTCACTTTTAAGAAATTAGTCTCTAATGTTAATTACTAAAACTTCGTCACTAAAAGCATAGATTAATAGAACTATATTAAAATGTCCGCTATTTAAATGCATTAGGGTTATAAGACACTTCTCTAAAAGCAGATTATACTACCTGACATCAAATATATTACTTAATCTTGAATTTGGATGAAGTTTTCAGAGCAAACAATATTCTTACTTTGAAAATTATCAATCATGGTTAACCAGAGATTCTTTAAAGTATCTAAAGATATTTTCACAAATTGAAACCAAAAAATTATGTACCTATGAAGTGAATCTTCAGCAACAATGAAAAACAATAGAAATAGAAATGGATTATTCACCTAACACAGAAATACAGTTATTTATCTCTCAGGTTGTAAGTTTAATTTTGAAGTGTCATCTTCTGTGGCAGTACTGGTAACACACATGACCACAAACCAAATCATGAACTGATAGAAATTCTTACACTTTAAGAAAGCTCTCTTTTATGATACCAAACAAAATTTTTCTGCGTTTATTTCTTAGAAATATTTCCAAAATATTTGTCTTTCATTTTTTTGCTGGTACTCAAAATAATGAAAAACATCAAACCTTCTGAAAAGTAGGATATTTGTTCTTAATGTGTGTCTGTTCATTTTCTGTCTCTCTTGGCCAATGTAGTTTTTTAGTTCGATGAATGAAAGTGGATTGATAAAGTTAACATTTGTTGATCACTAACAAGATAGCAGGGGCATTGAGTGTAATTAACCCAATAATACTTCAGTATTGTAGTCATGGGGGAAAATTAGGGCTGAGGCTTATTAGGAAAACATATTTTTCTCTTTAACATGGAGCTGCCCACATTTTGAAATCTTCTCATTTTGAAATTTTCTCATTTTGATACACATTTTATAGTTTCAAGAGAAAATTCTACTGGTATCTACCTTACTTCCTTGGATTAAATCTAGCAGTAATTTTCGTTTTAGGAGTGGGCCATGAATATTTTGCTTTTTTCAGTTTTAAATATGGTATCATCCTGTGAAAACCATCTCATTAGTTTGCTTTTTGTCTTTTGTTTTTGTTTTGCTTTTAAAGTGCGGGCCTGAAATTAACTTTTGCATATAAATAGCAACTTTTATATGTTTGCATATAAGTGACAGAGTTTTGCTTAGTTATCTTTGTTGTATGAAAATAGCCCTATTCCATAAAAATTAGCAAATACAACGCAAATACAGACTATCTTTATAGTTTGGTGGATTTATTAGTGAACATGTAGTAATTGCCTACTCAGCAGATGCAAAGCTACGTATGTCTGCAGGAAAAAATGTTAATTTCTAAACAAATCGAGTCAAGCAAGCCAAAAATGATGAAAACATCCTCTGTTAACTTACCTGTTGTATTTCTTAGTCTCAAAGTCAAGAAGTGTATATATGTGGACGTAGAGTGATTACGAGTTCCCCATGGCACTAAGTGGGAGGGTTATTTATATAGTGCCTTTTACCTAGAGAAAGTAGCGATGATTAATGGGCCTGTTTGTAGAAAAGAAAAGGGAAAAGTATACACGTTTGCTGTAACATTACGTCTCATTTACCATGGAAATGGTCATTTAAGTCTTCACCAAAACTGGGGTTTAATGAATATTTTTTAAGTCTTAATTTCTGTTTGTATTTTGTGAAAAGGTGTTCAGTAAGAAAGCCTTATTTGCAATATTATGTAAATATAAAATTATAAGACTTGCTTATACTCCTTTCCCAGCCAAGATATTGATACCCATTTTTAAACAAAATGGGAAAATATCCAATACAATATTCTCCTTCTTTTGGAGGCTCTGTAGAAGTGAAAGCAGATTTTGCGTCATTTTATTTGGCTTCTTGTCATCTCTCTTGTATTTGTGTACTTTTCAGACAAATACTGGTACTCTAGATCTGTTATCTTCTGTTTGCAAGTATGCCAGTGAGAGAACTAAAATGGTCATAGTGTTTATCAGGAAGAGGAAGCGTACTTAAGATTATTTTATTTATTAATATCTGAAAGGCTTCTATATAAATGCACTGAAATAAATGCTAGTAATTTCTTGTACTCTTTCTTTCTCTCTCCTTTTTTTTTTTTTTTTTTGCTTCTCATGGAAATGTTTGTACTTTTTTATCATTGTCTTTTATGAAATATAATGTTCTAAAGACCTTGTGTGGTGATGTAGTTATTTTCTGTCAGGAGCTTTTTGGGGGAGGTTACCTGGCTTTTTGTTGTGTTTGCGGTCCTAAATTGCAGGTGAATCGCTGATGAGCTCCTTGCTTGCACTAGGACTGCACCGTAAGCATGAGGCAATCACCACATATGCCTTTGCAACAGTGTTAGTTAAATACATTTAGAGATCACCCCATAGCTTGGACTTCAAAAGAGACACAGCAATATTTAAATATCTTTCATCAATACAATTAGGCATCCACTGTATCAGAGTGAATATTTAAGAAGTCATTTTTAATAACTTTCTTCTCCTTGCACAACCCCCTTCAAAACCCAGTCTTCCTCCTGTTTTACCATCCACTTCGTAAGTCAAGGACGAATCCATGGGTCACCCTCCCTCTTTCTCTTCCGTGCAGCCGACATTAACCCCACCTCTTAAGTCTCCCTCAGGTCCATACGGTCTTTGGTTTCCACAACAACTGCTCAGACCCTCCCTAGTTTTGTCTAGCTTCAAAGATGTGTCGTCATCTTTGAATTCATCTTGTATTGCC